ACACACTACAACACATTCTTCTCTAGTTTCCGGACGTCGTAGTCGTTTCTTGATGTTTAGACTTTTACTCTTCCAAACCAAGTCAATTACATTAGTTTAGGTTTATAAACTTAATTTTGACTATTTTTAAGTCATTATTCATAAGCTGAGGCTCTAACTTAAGTCATAGAATTTCCGGGGTGTTACAAGAATGGTCAGTATGCACTATGACCTTAGTACCAAGCAAGTAGGATCGAAATTTCTAGAATGCGAAAACCACAGCAAGGATTCCTGTTCAGTCACTGTATAGTTCTTTTGAGCCACATTTAGAGCGTTGCTTGCATAGTAAATAGGATGAAGAATCTTCTCTCGCCTTTGATCCAATACCACACCAAGTGCCACTCCACTCACATCGCACATTACTTCAAACGGTTACCCCCAATCCGGTGAAATAATGTAGGTGCGGAAACTAACTTTTCCTTCAACTCTCCAAATTCTCTCAGACAAGCATCATCAAACTCAAACTTACACTCCTTTTCGAGCAATTTGCACAATGGGTGTGCAATCTTGGAGAAATCCTTAATGAACCTGCTATAGAAACTAGCATGCCTAAGAAAACTTTTAACACCTTTAACAGAGATAGGTGGTAGAAGTTTTTCTATTACCTCGACTTTTGCTCTATCAACCTCAATACCTTGCTCAGAAATTCGATGACCCAGAACGATCCCCTCTTTCACTATGAAGTGGCACTTTTCCCAATTGAGCACAAGATTGCACAGGCACACTGTTTCAGTACCTCGGCCAAATGATCCAAACAACCATTAAATGAGTCACCTACCACAGAGAAATCATCCATAAATACGTCAATAGTGTCCTCCACCATATTAGAGAATATCGACATCATGCAACGCTGGAAGGTCGCTGGACCATTACACAACCCAAATGACATTCGTTTGAAAGAGAAAGTCTCATAAGGTCAAGTGAATGTAGTATTCTCATGGTCTTCCAGAGCTATGGAGATCTGATTATAGCCCGAATAACCATCAAGAAATTAATACCAACCCTTGCCAGCAAGGCGGTTCAACATCTGATCTATTAATGACATAGGGAAATGGTCATTTTCTGTCCAACCATTAAATTTTCGATAGTCCATGCAAAATCTCCATCCAGTCACGGGCGGCATCGGAACAAGCTCGTTTCTCGCACTAGGTACCACATTCATCCCACCTTTCTTGGGCACTACTATCTACAATGGGATAAATGACTCCAGCATCCAACCACTTGATGATCTCCTTTTGCACTACCTCTTGCATAGGTGGATTTAATCATCTTTGGTGCTCAATACTAGGCTTGTGATCCGGCATGAGTTGGATTTTATGAGAACAAATGCCAGGAGGAATCCCAATAATGTAACGACCCGAGAGCACCCCCTAGTCGTTACATGCATATTCGACCTCCCGGAGGTCTCATACAAGCCTTAGCATTCACTCATCGCATAGATCATAAAAATCACTAAGAATTTAAAACTTTTATTCAATACATAAGACTTCAAGAGTCATCAACATTTGAAAACATCAATACGCAAGCGGAACTACTAAGTCTCTTTAGCCAATCTTAGATAAGAACTTAAAACGTACTAAGGGACACTGCCCTTTACAAATGAAATGAAACTTAAGTTTCTATTACAATGACTAAGAAACTTCTAAACATAGTCCTCGAATCTTGAGGACATACCAAAGACTTGGAAGAGTGAAGCAATCCAAGCGACTCCAAAGAACTATCCCCTCCTAGTTACCACAACCTACACTTGTAGTAAAATAGAAAAAAAGGGTCAGTACAACACATGTACTAAGTATGAGGATATGCAAAACATGCTAAAAAGGACATTTGTTTGGAAGTTATGCTTTCATGCCATTTTGATAAAATCTCATGAACATCAGGCACCTTACAAGTCACAACCAACAATACAAAGTCATATGCTTCACAATACATCATAAACATACATAACCCATTTACCTTTACCTTCTTGCCTTGGACCTCCACCTTAAGTAACCCTTAAGCAATACCTTTGTGCAATGTATGGGCAATGTCCAATACCATCACCCACACTAAGGCACCACCTTAAGGTCACACAAAGTGCACTTACCATGCATACCTCAACCTTCACCAATTAATCACATATGACATATAAGCACATAAGCCAACAAGTCACTTCATAAAGCTAGAATAATCATCAAATATCATCCCAAGACTCACCTAAGTAAGACATGGTAAGACAACCCATACTACCTCTCCATACCACACCCAAGTGATCCTTAAGGCTACATAAGACAAGCTCCATTCACATCTTAACATAAATCATTCATTCAACTTAATGCATTTAGACAACTTCATTCATTAATGACATAAGATCATCACATACATTCAATTCAATATAAGCACTTACATTCAATTCATTATGACTCACTTTCACATTAGCGTGCTCAAGGACCAACACTTTCATCAATTAGCCCAAAGAGACTCATTCATTCATTATCATTACTAAAACACACCAAGATCTCTCTTAAGTGTCTACTTGTGCAATGTCTAGATGATGTCCCATTCCACCACCTATTCTAAGTAGTACACTCTTAAGAGACCTTAGTTCATTCATTCATTAATGTGGGGGAAGAGCCTTAACTGACATAGACCATAGAGCTTGACATGGAATCCCAGTACTACCCTTACCGGATGAGGGATCCCTACTTGGCTAAGGTAGGGTCATTCTTTTATCCTTTACGTGGTAGAGAACACTAGCTAGTCTTATGTGGGCACATAGTTAAGGGATAGAAGGATTGCTTCTAAGTACTCTCATCTCAACTTACGAAGGAGCACCGATCTTAAGGGTTGCTACTAAATACTCACATCTCAACTAACGAAGGAGTATCCACCCATCTTCATATCCTCTCGGTGCTAGACATTACTCTCCCACAGAGTTGGACATTCATTTCATTCATTCATTTAGGGATAAGGATTGCTACTAAGTACTCTCATCCCAACTCACGAAGGAGTACCCATCCTAGCCCAACATTCATTCATTGAGGGATAAGGAATGCTACTAAGTACTCTCATCTCAACTCACGAAGGAGTACCCATCCTAGCCCAACATTCATTCATTTAGGGAACCTCTTGGATTCAAAGATGAGAAAACCTTTCATCTAAGAACCCCATTCATTTAAAGGAGTACTTTATGAGACTATCCTTACAATAGACCCAACTTTCATTCATTAGCATTAACTCCCATTCTTTTCATTCATTCACACATTCTTTCATTCATTCTTCACTAGGTGTGAGAGTAGGTAAACATAGTCTATCCTAGCCTCACCTTCATTATAAGTCATTCAAAGAAGACAACAACCAAGTATGACACATAAAGTCTCTACACAAGGTCACCTTTCATACTCTTAGACCATACACAAATTCACATCGTATCACATTACCTTCATATAATCAACATTACTTAAAACAACAATCATCCAACTTTGCCTATAAGGCCATGATCACAACATGCTTATAAAGTAAACACCTCCCCACTTTCAAAGGGATCAAACCTCACAATTCTAACATCTACTACATATATATATATATATATATATAAAATACTAGAATCAATAATCTATTCACAACTTCATCATCATCATAAACCTTAGGTCACAATTGCCCATTCAAGGCCAACATCCAATATAACACAATTGACCATCAATTCCTCATAATTCAATATAAAACAATACATAAATCAATAGCCCATAACAATCTACACATTAATATCATATTATTTGCTCATAATCAATAGACCCACTTTAGACCGAAAAATTAGAATTTCAAGATATGCAACGATTCATGGAGTTTTTTTTATCTTAAAACCATCAATATTAACATAAATCATCATTTGAAATACTTTCATGCAAGAACCCAAGCTTAGAAAATTGGGTTTTTTAGTGTTTTTGAAAAACATTGAAATCACTTTGATTTGGCTCTTTGATTGAAAGGAGAATCAAAGATAAAATCTCCATACCTTTGTGATTATTTTCCTTAAAAATTTGAAGGAGAAATCAGTAGGAACCCATCCCCTAGCTTGAAGCTTCATCAATTTCTTCCATGGAGTTCTAGAGAGAGAATTTATTTGTGAGGGAAGGTTCAATTTGGATAATGAGGTCTAATTCTAGGTTTTGGGGTTTTAACCACTTAAAATATCCAAAAATAGGTAGAATAACCGTTTATAATAATTCCCCAAAGTACCCAAACTACCCCTCACTTAGTTGGACCTTTTAAACAAGTCAAACTTGAGTTTTATTTTCACAGATTTCATCGGGAAACAAGTCCGCGACGCGGAGGTGTTCCCACAAGTTTTTGGAAATTAAATTTCGAAATAGAAGAGTCTGCGATGTGGACACTCTCCCTTCACGAGCAACTTCAAGCTGCCTTGGCAGCTTGTTTGGCCAAGGGTGGGGGTCCTCCTCGAGGACCCTTAAGGTGGTCCTAGGGAGTCATACCAGAACGTTTTGACCCTAAAAACATTTATTAAGACACTAGGGTCACCTCCACAGATTTTAGACTCCAAACAACACATAAAAACATGAACAACATACTAGAACACACCAACACATAAAAGACTAGTTTCCAAACGTCTTGGTCATCCCTTGATGTTTGACTTCCAAACTGACTAAAAAGGCTATTCTTCATTATTTTAACAAGTTATTAATGCATAAAACCCATGTGAGACTCTACCTTATCCTACTTCATTTTGAGGGGTGCTACAAATAATGTCCGCAATAGTCCACCCAATAGCCTTCTTGAACCTTTTCAATACAGAAACCAAAGCCTCAACTTGTTCCGCATTCAAATCGGCCGCAATGATGACCGGTAAAGTACCATCTCTCCCAAGAATACATACCTCAAATGTGATGGTAGAGCCTTTAGCACCAACTTCAAAGCCTCTTCAAAGGACGGTTTTACGGGTGGAGAGTCGTGATTCTTCATATCTAACTCAAGCTTCTTTGGTTTGGAATGGAATTCAAACCTATCAAGTGCGGGACCAATTCATCATAGTCTTCAATACCATCACCCTCAAAATTCATCATAACCGCTGGCAATGCATCAACACTCAATCTCTCTTTAATAAACACCTCAGAACCTTGCTCCACCATATGATTCACCACTAATACCCATTTGAGCTCACTACCCTGCTTCATAGACCTACAGTTATTGAAAGTAACCTCTTCATTGTTCAATAGAAACTTCATCTGCCCCTTTTGCATATCAACCAAAGCGTGCCCAGTAGGAAGGAATGGTCTCCCTAGAATGAAGGGAACCTCAAAATCAACCTCACAGTCAAGTATCACAAAATCTGCCGGAAAAATAAATGACTCCACTTTCACAAGCACATCTTGGAGAACACCAATGGGCTTCTTCACAGTTCTATCGGCCATGAGTACTCGCATAGCAGTCACTTTTGGAGTCCCTAAACCCAACTTCTTGTAAATCGACAATGGCATCAGATTGATTCTCGCACCCAAATCCCATAATGCCTTCGCAAAATGTAACAACCCGATGGTACAAGGGATAGTGAAGGCTCCAGGATCCTCTTTCTTCAGCACAAGTGACCTTGTAGTAATAGCACCAAAATGTTGCAATCTATCATCATCTTCAAAACTGACGGCCCTCTTCTTAGTCACCAAATCCTTTATGAACTTTGCATACCCAGGCATTTGCTCCAGAGCTTCTATCAACGGAACATTGATGAAAAGTTGTTTCAACATAGAGATAAACCTGCGGTACTTTCCTTCTTCATTCTTCTTCACCAACCTCTGTGGGAATGGAGGTGGAAGTCTAGGCATGGGGACAACTTTTTGGGTTATCTCTGCTTCCTTCTCTGTAGCATTCTTGGACTCTCCAATAACCTCAATCTCTTTATCATCTTTCTCAACCAGATTTTCAACCTCAGATGGCATAGGTGGATCAATGGTCTACTTACCCCCCTCGAGTAGTGACTGCCATACAATGCCCATCATTCTTCGGATTTTCGATAGTGTTGCTAGGATGTGTGCCAGGCTGATGTGGGTTTACTGTAGTGGACAACTAATTCATTTGATGCTCAAGTTGATTGATAGACACTGTTGGGCATCAACCTTTTGACCATTTTGAGACAATTCATTATGCATCTCCTTCACACTCTCATCAGTCGAATCAAACCGCTTCATCATCTTCTACATCATATCCTCAATACGTGACATACTACCCCCAGCTTCCCTATTACCCAATTCCTAATTTTGAGGAGGAACATATGGCCCAACCCTATCATTTATGTTGCCATAGTTGTTCCGGTTGTAGTTGTTGTCGCGATTATAGTTCCCATCACAGACATATTGACCCTCTCGGTTGTAGTTGTCATAGTTCTGATCTTGGTTTCCTTGACCTTGGCACTAAGTATCCGAATTGGAACCTTGGGCGTTGGCTCGAAAAACCCCCGTCTGATAATTCACCGCATAAGTATCCTCTTGTAGTAGCATTCCTCAACTGGTGGTGGATTCCTAGTCAAATAATTCACAACATTTACCTTTTCGGCACCTCCGCTCCCATGCTTCAATACAAACCCCAGTTCGGTCCTCATCAGAGCCATCTCCTCACGAATGACATTGGCAGATTGGTAAGGTGTAGCTTGAACTCCAAACGTGCTTCACCCAGTATCTGACTTTCTAGTGCTCCAAGCTTTGTTATACCAATAGATTTTCTCTAATTTTTCAACGATCTGCTCAAAAGTTCACTCATCATATGAACCTCCAGCGATAGTATCAAGCACCGCTTTACAATTGTCATTCTGACCTCTATAGAAGTATTCCTTCAGTGACTTATCATCAATGCAGTGATTCGAAATACCTCTTATGAATGCAGTGAACCTATCCCATGAACTATTCACAGACTCTCCATGTAATGCCACGAAGTTGTTGAGTTTATCTTTGTGGTTCAACTTCTTTGACACTAGGAAGTACTTTGTCATAAACACCTTATGCAATTAATCCCATGTGTGAATCGAGTTATATGAGATCTCAGTAAACCACACAGTAGCATCAATGGTCAATGATAGAGGGAATACTCTCAACCCAATAACATCCATGTTCGATTCCGGTCGACCCACACAACTCTTGCAAACACTCATCAACTTGGCCATGTGCCCATGTGGATCCTCCGATGCCAAACCAGAGAATGAACTCCTCGATGTAAGCATCTGCATCAGACTGGTAGTAACCACGAATGTATGCCCCGGAGGTAGAGGAGGTAAAACAATAGTCCCTTCGGATTTGACGATATTGAAGTCGGCCATATAATTATCACGCAACCTTGGTTCTGGTAGTAGATTCTGCACCCTCAATGCATCTCCAAGCAAATTTTCACCCTGAACCTGAACATTCTCATTATCAACCCTAGGAGGCAGCAACTCAACTCCATCACCTAGTTTTCCCCGGACATGATTGATTGGGACCCCTTGATTATTCATCCTTTGCAAAGTTCTGTTCAATTCTGGATCATAAGGAGTCAGTGGTTCACACTAGAGTAGGAACCTGAGAGAAACAAAAACAGAAGAAAAATTAAAATTAGGAAATAATTGACTAAAGTTCAATAATGTAGTTTAAGTTATTCTAAAAGCCTTATGCCCCGACAGCGGCGCCAAAATTTGATACGCTCAAATTACACCTCCCTGAAGAAGTATAAGCGATCGTTATCAAGTAAAGAACCCAATTTGTAGGTTGGGGTCGATCCCACGAGGAATATGGTTTAGACTTAAACTTAACTTACGATTATATCTGTTTAGTCAACTTATTTTCGAGACAAGTAAGTAAAGGGTGGGTTTTGTGTACCAAATAACTGATTGTAGTTGAGAGAACAAGTGAGCAAGATTCGAACTTTTAGTTGTTATCAATGAGAGAAAGTAACTAGGGTGTATGTGTTCCCCATAAACTCATAACGTGGTAATCCTAGTAATAGTAATCCTTTTCTAGTATATCACATGCAAAGTGGTAAGTTATGTATCTCTAAGTCCTTGGTCTGGCAAATAGAGAATTTCACCCCGCACCTTGGTCCGGCTACGTGTGTATAATTTACTAACCCTTACCTTTACCTCATAGTAGACATCACATCAATGTATGACTTAGTTTTCACCCTCGCACCAATTGACATTAGACTATTAGATAGTATCACACTAAATCTATGTTGATAATTATTTTCTTATTAACTACCTCCTTGGTCCGGCAAGTAGCAACAAGGCGAGTTCTAACATTGTGCATCGTTAAAAAGACTTTTAGACGAAAGAATTATCAATGCATGCAATAACACTATTCAAGAATTACTTAGTTACTATTCATACTTTGTTAATCACTCATAGTTCCCACAACCCTAGTTGTGGATTTAGTTACCCATAGTAGCAAGAACACAATTCATTTTTTAGTAGAAGAATTCATTAACTTACATAATGAGTAGAAGAAACCCGAAATCTCCAATTCTAATTCAAAGCAACAATCTTTATAAACCCAAAATAGGAAATCAAATTGCCAATGTTTTGCAAGTTAATTCTTAAGAAAACACCAACAACTAAAGTTAAACAATAGTAGCTAACACCCCAAAATGAGGTTTACATACCTTATTTATAGAAAACATAGTCCCAAACAAAAAGGTAACGAAATAAGGAAATAAATTGCTGGACGCGGCTTCAATCGACGAGATTGACCTACGGACCGTGGATCGACCTACAGTCCGTAACTCCCTTCCGTGGCTCAGGACTTAGACAATTTCTCAGAATCTTGGAACCTTCAACTTTCAGATGCAAACGACGGACCTACAAAATGGACCGTAGGTCGACCTACTGTCCTTAGGTCCCCTCTCGTGACTCCACACTTAGACTTTTTCATTAGGTACTGGAACTCAAAATTTTTGATACAAATGACTCGTAGGTTACCTCTATAGATGGCTCCTTCTACAGAAATTTGGTTGTTGTCTCTCTCCACCTCGTCCAAGTCTATTTCCTACAAATATAGCACAATAATCAGTAGTTATAACACAAAATGGCCCTAGACACACACAACTCTTAAGTGAAATATACTAAAAATACCATAAACTCATGGTATATTAGAGAACCAAGTACCCCTTCTACAAGTGGGATTGAGCAAAGAAAATTTTGAAAAGGACCATGAAAAATATAAAAACATGGCCAATATTATGATCCAAATCGATTTGTTGTCCAAACATGTCATGGTAGGTGGAACTAAGTCAGTAAATGTTGTTGGAACCAACACTAGGCAGTGCCTAGATGATGCCAAATTTGAGGCATTATTGATGAGTCCACGATTTGGACTTATTTATGTCTTTAGTTTAATAGATTTAGTACCCTTGAATGCATATTTTGTCTCAATAACTAATGTAAATTCTTGAATTTCAGGTATTTGAACTTAGGGACAAAGCATGGACACTATTGAGCAAAAAGGAACAAGGAAGTTGAACGAACGAAGAAAAGAAGACCTGAGGATTGCCTAAACCATTGGGCGAGTCACCGAATGGCCTTGGTCTCGCCTAATATTCTAGTGTGCCAAGCCTTGAAGGAGAAAATGAAGTTGGTGATAGAAAGAAGCAGTCGGTGAGTCGCTGAATAGTTCCGCGATGTAGTGCCTTATCGCCCAAATTTACAGGACCTCAAGGATGCTAAAGGCCAAAGCAAAAAGGCGATACAAATGACCAAAGGGACGATTGCCGAGTGGATCGGTGATCCCGATTAACTGCGCTGACTGAACTTTCGCAGCACACTTTTTGACAACAATAAATACCTGTTTAAATTTTTAGCTTAGTATGAGATTTTGTAGGGAATCGTATTATTATTCAGGTTTTGAAGTTTAGAACTTAGAACTGAGTTTGAGAGAGATTTTTCCTTAGCTTTGAAGATTTGAAGATTTTCATTTCTAAGAAATTGGAAGTGGGTGTTGAAGATTTTTCATCTTACATGTTTATAAAGATTATATTAATCGTACCCAGTTGATGGAAACGCATTTTGGTATTGATTTATATCTTTTTACTATGTCTAGCTAAAACCCTAATTCTTGGGGTGTGATTATGTGATAATGGGTTGAATTAACTATTGGGTTCTACTAATTGATAGTCTATTTGCTGTTTAAAAGTGATTTCGTTCAGTAACTGTGGTTGAATTTAATGGGTTGTAGTTGCAAATATAATCCTAACTTCATGTTTTTAGCTTGAGAGAGAGAGAGGTTTTAAAACCAAAATTGTTGAATCGATGGTCTATGGGTATTGGGCTGTCATGGGTTCAGCTCGAGAGAGTGAACCCTAAACCCTTTTCCACACATTTAGCGAGAGAGAGTGAATGGACTAAAGTGAAGGTTGTGCTTCATTGTCGCTTATTGGTGTTCGAGAGAAACCAATTCGATTCGGGGTAAATTGTTCGAGAGAAATTTACCCCCACTAAAGTCTAACTTATTCACGGATTTGCAGCAGTTTACTATTAATTGAAATTACCGGGTTGTTTACCTTAGCCCATGATCCTATCACATCCCAAGAATCCTGTCTCCATATTTGTATTTTAATATTATTTGTTGTTTTTAGTTGCTTGTTGACTACAAACCCCCATTTTTTTTATATTTGACACTTGTTTCGACCATTATTTTATCATGTTTTCCTGCATAAATATTTTTAGCTATAATTGACTTGAGCATATTTATGCTTTTCTATTGATTCTTGAGTACGAACCACTCCCATGGGACTCAACCCCAACTCACTAGTTGGGTTATATTACTACTCACTATCGTTGGCACTTGAACTGAAAGTATTGTCCTGATACGTGAAATCAAAATGGCGCCGCTGCCGGGGACTGGTGTTCCTTGAGAATTTTTAGATAAGTTAAATGTTTTTTATTGTTAGTTATAGTAATACTTACTTAATTGTTAGTTTTTCT